GCAGTGGGAAAGGCCACGACAGTGAGAGGCCCGCGTACTGCAAAAAAAAAAAAAAAAGAAAGAAATAATATTTGAGATGTGGCAATGGTATTGTGGTTACATTTTTAAAAGTATCCTAATATTTCAGAAAGGCATATTAAAATAGTTATCAATGAAATGATATGATATCTGATATTTTGCTCGAAAGAAACCCAGTGTGGCTTTAAGATGGGGAGCTGCAGATGAAACAAGACCAGCCGTGAGCTGGTAATTGCTGAAGCTGGCTCTGTGTCCATGGGGCTTATTATCCCATCCTATTCTCTGCACATTTGTACCTGTTTGAAATTTTACATAATAAAAATGTAGAAAAAGAAGAAAAAGGAAAAAGCAAAACCCCTGAAGTAGAAAACAAGCTTAAGAAATGCTTCTAAGAGGAACGCAAGCGCTCAGAGAAGGTACAGTTACACATCTGGCAGGTTCCCTTCCCAGCCTCACAGGAGCTCTGGGAGATGGTAATACTGCCTGATGGACTTTATACCGTTTAAGAGCTTCCCCATAAATAATCCCACTTCATACTTGCAGCACACCTGAGGGTCCTGCAGGGCAGGAATTTCCTTTTTCTTTTTTGGTCGTGAACACTTGGGCCCAAAGCAGTCGCACGACTTGTCTAGGGTAACATAACAAGCTGGTCTCAGCTGAGCAACTTGAATTCGCACTTTAATGCTCCTTTCATGGTTCCGCGTATTTATGCCTACCCAAAGCGACCACGCTCAGCTGTCACTTGCGCTCCTGTGGCAGGAGGCCAGGCCAAAAGGCCCTGGTTTTGCTCATGCAGGTGTGGAGTGTCACACCCTCTCGGGTAAAGATGGGCAGGGTCCCTCCTACTAAGCCTCAGGTCTGTGGGATGGCAGGGGGGCTGCTTATCTGGGGTGGGGTGGTGGGCTGTACACGTACCCAGGGTTGGGTGCAATTATGTGAAACAGACCTGACGTTCGCGCAGCCCAATTTTCCTTCCACCAACAAGCTCAAGCACCGTCACACCATTTGGTCCTATTCTTTCCTGCTTTCCCTTCCATCTCTGCTCCCTTGACTCCCCAGTCTGCATAATTGGGAGAGTGGTCCTCCAAGGCCATCTGTCAGCCACGTAGACAGAATCAGACTTGCGGCAGCTGCAGGAAAGGAGCAGAACAGGGCCCAGGACAATCCTGGGTCTTCCAGCTATCAGCGTTGAAGTCTCTAGTTGGGGCTGTTTCCTAGGAACAGAGAGGGGACGGGCACCTCTTTATCCTAACCAGGCCTGTGGGACCATATTAGGAGCCCCGGAGCATCCCTTTCAAGAAGCTTCACCAGCCCTTAACTGCAGGTGTTGGTCTGCGAGGTTTCCAGCTCCAACGAAAGCCCTTCCTGGATGAGATCCACCCTGGGACATCAGAGTCATTCTGCAACAGCGAAGGTCCCCTCATCCTCTCCCAGTCAAGTGATGCATCCTCCAGGGCCCAGCTCAAAACACACCTTCTCCAAAACCCCTACTCTGACCACTCCAGCCTTTACTGATTTCTTTTCTTCTTCCTCATTTTCCATATGTTGATTTTTTTAAGTTTTTAATTGTGGTAAAATACGCATAACGTAAAATGTACCATCTTAACCATTTTTAAGCGTATGGTTCAGTGGCATTAAGTACATTCACAGTGCTGTGCAACCATCACCACCATCCGTCTCCAGAGCTCTTTTCATCTTGCAAAACTGAAACTCTGTCTCCATTAAACAATAATGCCCATTTCCCCTCTCTCCAGGCCCTGTCAACCACATTCTTCTTTCTATCTCTACGAATGTGACTATTCTAGGTACCTCGTATAAGTGGAATCAGTATTTGTCTTCTTGTGCTCTGAGAGAACTCGGTACATGGGAAACACTAGGTAAATGTTAGCTATTATCTTTTGTTAAGTATGTCCAAGTATTACAAGGTTGGTGGCCAAAATGCAATGCCAGCTCTCTCAATGGTAATTGTTATCCAGTAAGGTAGGTAATCTAAAGGGGTGGGAAAGGAATTCTTCCCCCCAGGAGCTCAGATAAAGGTATTTCCATTTTGAATGAAAAAAAATAGCTCATGGATATTTAATAGTTTTAAAAATTTGGACCTTAGGTATAAGAGTCTGTTCACCAGTGATTTTTTTTGTTTCTTAAAAATTAATTAATTAATTAATTAATTTTATTTTTGGCTGCATTGGGTCTTTGTTGCTGCGCGCGGGCTTTCTCTAGTTGCAGAGAGTGGGGGCTACTCTTTGTTGCGGTGCATGGGCTTCCCATTGCGGTGGCTTCTCTTGTTGTGGAGCATGGGCTCCAGGCGTGCGGGCTTCAGTAGTTGTGGCATGTGGGCTCAGTAGTTGTGGCTCATGGGCTCTAGAGCACAAGCTCAGTAGTTGTAGCGCTCAGGCTTAGCTGCTCCACAGCATGTGGGATTTTCTTGGACCAGGGCTCGAACCCCTGTCCCCTGCACTGGCAGGAGGATTCTTAACCACTGCGCCACCAGGGAAGCCCTACTCACCAGTGTTTTTGATTTTCTTAGTCTTTTCAGGACAGAAGCTATTCAAATGTACCTTTGATCCCTACTGTGTATCACAGTGCATAGTCTCTGCAATAAAACAGAGGAAGGAAAGAAGGGATGGAGGGAGGGAGGGAAGGGGGGTGACTATATTAAATAACCAGCTCTATTTACATCAGGTGTTGAATATTCATTAGATACAGCAATTTTTTTTTTTTTTGGTTCCTACACATCAGAGGCTGATTCAAACCAGAACGATTGTCATATTATTCTGCAAACAATAGATTCTCCACTGATGGGATCCGAGCAAAATGAATGAAAGTGAACCTGCACAAAACAAAGCTGTGCAGTGTTAGCGTTCCTGAGGAAACGACAAAGCCAAACAGAAGCTTTGCCCCTCTTCCCCGTGCCTCTCAGCTTGTCCTTGGCGGTTCACTCTCACAACCTTCCTCGTTTACTCCCATCATTTGTTAGGAGGCTAAACGCCCTGTTTCTCTTGGTTCACCATTCTTCCTGGAATCTTGCGGTGACCCAACTCTCACCTGCTTGGTTTTCCACGTTTACTGTGATCATAGCCACACTTTTCAAGAGCACACAGCACAGCCAATGGGTGTGCCAGGACTGCAGCCCAGGGCCAGGGACACGAACCACAGTCAGAGAGTCAGAAAGCTGTCCCCAATACCCAGTTCTCCCACTGCCCCTTACTATGAGCCAGAGCTTCTGCAAAGCTCCGTTTTCCCCATCCCTACACCAGGACATGGTGCCCACAAGTGTACAGCATCTGGTCAAATGAGATGGGCTGTATACGAATATTCCCCAAACCCATAAACCTATACACGTGCAATGAGCATGCACACACGCACTATTGTTACTCTTAAGTGTATTTGTACAGTAATTTAAACTTGGGTTAAGTCCTGAGTACCAGAAAACAGAACCAAGAATACGGTTACGGGGGATGTGAAAATATGTAAGAGGGGGAGAAGACAAATGTGAATGTGTTTTGCCAGCCTGGCATTCAGTCGCCCCTGTGGAAATAGCGCCTCAATTCCTCTTTGGGGAACATCCCTCCCTCAGGTCCCGACCCTGGGATTGAAAGGGGCAGATCCCCCAGTGGAAAAAGAATATCCAACTTTGGAAGAATTTTCTTTTTGTTCTGAAACATCAGTTCTCTACATCTGGAGTCTAGATGTTCCTTGAGTTACCTAAACTGATGTCTGCTGGTAGCTACCAGAATTCCAGGCATAACATCAAAACAAAATAATCCATCCTATGGTGAGCCTTACAAACTGCTTCAGTGATGGAAATGTTACATAGTTAGCATTTTAAAATAAATTTTTTTTAATAAAAAGAAGAGTGTACATATGACTGTGTACATGTTTCTTTCTTTTGGAACTACTATGGGTTTACTTGGCTACATCAGCTGTTCTTCATTCCAGTTTGCATGGAGGTGAAAGAAATCTGGGTGGAAGGCCCTACCTTACCAGTGATGCAGCCTTATAAATGTTGCAGAAATGATGGTGACAGCTCGACTGTACAAATCTGCCTTTTAGATGATTCCTTTTCAAGCAGCAAGAAACAGGCCATTTGACTGGTGTATATCCAGGCTAAAGGGAGCCGTGGAGGTCCTGGATGGGCGCACACCAATTAAGTTGAGCACTCACTGAAATTGCTTTCTCTGAACGGAGAATGATCGATCAGGAGACAAACTGTACACATATTAGACTGAAAGAGTTTACAGGTAACTCTGGCCCAAAGCCATTGCCACTTCATTTCATGGGCTGAAACCCCTCAAGTGGTGAAGTGAGGGGGGAGGGGAAAGCCACTTAATGCTTTGCACAGGGAGATCCAACAGCTGGGTCTTGCATTGGTTTACATTTATCGGATGATGACAGGAAGGGAAAATTGGTCTTCACGTGCACGGTTGAAGATGGGCCTTTAGAAACTGCCGAGGAGTTTCAACAATAACAACAACAGCAAAAAAGCTCGAGATGCTCAGGGCTCGCCCAAGATCAATCACTCCGAATGTCTGGAGTTGGAGCCCAGGCATCGAGCACTTTTAACCAGTTGATACTACTCTGCCGTCACGGCTGACAACACTGGGTAAATAGTTCCAATCGGTAGCAAAGCCTCCTCCTTTGGGGAAGGCTTCCAGGGACCAAGGCTCCTTCAGAAGGGCTGATCCCCGCAGCCCGGGGGAATTTCAGCTCGCAGGTCCCATCCGGGAACAGAGCTCGGGCAACGGCGCCCACCTTGGAGCAGGATTGGTTTAGTAACACGCTCTCACGCACATCTCCTCGCAAACACCCCACGTAAGTTCAACACCGAGGTTGGAATACAGGGACGCGCAGAAGACGGGACCACTATCCTCCCACCCTAGACGGGCGGACGCCGCTCGCGGGGACCGGGGCTGAGAGCGGAGGGCGCATGCGCGGGCCGAGGCTGAATAGGGAGAGCGCATGCGCGGCCGAGAGGGCGGTGCTTCCGGCCGGCGGAGGTGGGGACTGCGGCGTTGCGGGGTGGACTCTGGGTCGCGACCCCGACCCCTGCCCCGTTCGGCGACTTCGACCCCCACCCGGGCCGTTACCCCCACCCGGTCATACCCGTATGGCCCGGCACGTGTTCCTGACGGGACCCCCAGGTAACCCCGCCCGGGTCTGCGCCTCCGGGAGGCCGAGGGGTGGACGTGAGGGGTGCCCGGGCTGGGGGCGGTCCGGTGCTTTGGGCAAGGGGCTCCGGCCGGTGGCCTATAAAATTCCCCATGTAAGTTACACGCTTGGTGGTCTGAAGCCTGCGTGTTTTTCCCGGAAAACGTGACTGTGAGTCCATCAGATGAGTGAAATGAGGCCAACTACAGGAGAACAGGAACCAGCTGTGATGGGGTCGCCCCCGGCCTTCGGTCTTAAATATTAAATAGCAGGGGCGGCGGCAGCAGTAATAACTCCCGCAGTTGTGAAGTTGTGATGGACACGAAAGGTATTTCAGAATCTCTGCCACCACCGCGGTGGAATCGAAGGTGTGTGGTTTCTGTCGATAGTTACACGTGCTCCTAACCTGCACTCATCATGAAAGGAAGAGCGGGATTTCAGTTGCAGGGTAGTGAAACTAAACATGCTGCCGTGTTCCCCATCCACGTTCACCGACCCACTGAATTCCCTCCATGAGTGAGGCCGCAGGTTAAGAGCTTTGGTACCTACAGGGCACCGCCCACCCAGGGCCTGCGTCTGCGTCTGTCTCTTCTAATGCAGATCCCTCAGCCCTCGGGCTGTGAAGGTCTCACCTTTGAAAGGAGATAGTGTGCTTTCAAATGAGAGTCTGGGGGAGGACATAGATGCCTTTTAAGCCAAGATGCCGCACGTGGATAACTCATTATTGAAAGAAGAGGCAGAAAAGTTGTAGCAGCATCAGATACATTAAGGGGAAAAAAAAAAAAAAGATGGGCCTAAGCAGAAAGTGATTTCTTCAGCTTCCTTGCAGCTTTTCAAGTTAGCTGTGGGTTCAGATATCAACCATTGCTACCCTGGGCCTGAAATTCTCTTTCACTTTATTTTAATGATTATCGTTTTTAGCCTTCAGGAGCAAAGGCTAACTTAATATTGCAGATTCTGGGATTTTATTTTTACCAGGCAGTGGGGGAGTGCTGAGGAGGGAGGTGTTGTGAGAAATTTCTGATACCCAGAGGTAAAGGACCATCTTCTGAAAGTTGATTTGTCAGTCCTTTATTTGAAACTTGGAATGCAGTTTTCTCAGCAGGCTGGCCCCAAGACATCGATGTGTTTCATAACAGAGGTGGCTTGTTATTGTGATGGTACCTGGCTGCGTCCCGGAGGTGGGTGGGGACAGAGGCTCGCCTGGCCAATACTGGTTCTTCTTTCTGTTTCCTTCTTCATAAAAGTTTTATGTACATACACATAATTGGAAGACTCATTCCTACAGTATAGCTCTCTTAAGCCTGTCCTCAAACCCACTCACCTTCTCTTCCTCCTAATCTTCATAACGCAGTTATCCTGTAATTTTAATTAGCTCAGTGGTCAGTGTTTACAGTATTATTAGCAAAAGCTAATCACAGAAGAGCCTTGGAGTAATCTATCATTTCTTTTCCCTTTGTGAACAATTTTTTTTTTCTCTTTGGAGTTGTTGTCTAATGTTGTTTTCTCATTGACTTAGTTTCTTTCTCTCACCAACCCAATCCCAAACTCTGCCGGCGGTCTAAATCTCTACGTGTTCACAAATGTAAAATTGATAGCTAGTGGGAAGCAGCCACATAGCACAGGGAGAGCAGCTCGGTACTTTGTGACCACCTAGAGGGGTGGGATAGGGAGGGTGGGAGGGAGACGCAAGAGGGAGGGGATATGGGGATATATGTATGCATATAGCTGATTCACTTTGTTGTACAACAGAAACTAACACAGCATTGTGAAGCAATTATACTCCAATAAAGTTGTGTAAAAAATAAATAAATATAAATCAATCAATCAATCTCTACACGTTCAGACCATCGGGTAAGGTATCTTCTCAAAGAGGTCACTTTTTGTTTTCTACACTGTCAGGGCCTCACCCATGTGTCTTTGGCACTTAGCATTTTTTCCAGCTTCCAACTATAGAGCCTCTGACCCATCCTGGAGGGCTTTCTCTGGTCCCTGGAGCCCACTCTGCCTGCACAGGGCAGGCCTGAGGGCCAGGGAATGCCTTCTCTCAGGAGCAGCCTTGACCCATGATAGATGGAAGTGAGCAGGTAAACTCCTTACTTCCTCACCCCTCAGACAGGAGAACTCGGAGCCTTGGGTCCAGAACTGTGTCCTAGGATTTCCCAGTGGGATTAAGCTACCCACAGTGGTAACTTATTTGATAATGCGATTATCTTCCTACCAGCATGTCGTCTTGGGGTGTTGCTTCCCAAATTAAACTGCCTGTATTTGAGTCTTTATTTCAGGGTCAGCTTTATGGGAGAACCAGAGCCAAAATAATTCTGGAGCTTTCTGACCTGTTCTTGTCTGTGCGTGGTGTGGACCTTTCAGCTTGGGGTCTCCTTCTCACACAGGCCACTTCTTAGCCAGTGTAGACAACACTAGGGTAGTAGCTTAATTAACGGAGGTGAAAAATTCACCGGAAGATTTCTGGAGCCGAAGAGGAAGAAAGGGACTTGAGCCCAAGGCCTCCTCTTGCTCTATAATGTTCTCCCTCACAGATCGGACCCACAGTGTCCCCTTTTGTTGCAGCTGTTCCATTTTGTATTTTGCATAATGTAAATAGCTTTGTTTTTTCTTAAATTAATAGTAATAACCACTCACTATAAGACCAAAAAAAAAACCAATGAAATCAAGAAAAATTTTAAAGAAGTGAAATCACATGGGTTTCCAACATACAGAAATAAATGCTGTAAACCTTTCTGTGTTCTCAACATTTTCTTCAATAAACATATGCATACTTCACTTTTTTTTAAATTGAGGTATAGTTGATTTACAATATTATATAAGTTTCAGGTGTACAACATAGTTATTCACAGTTTTTAAAGATTATACTCCATTTATAGTTATTATAAAATATTGGCTATATTCTCTGTGCTGTACAGTGTATCCTTGCAGGTTATTTATTTTATACATAGTAGTTTTTAACTGTTTATTCCCTGTCTTGCCCCTCCTACCTTCCCTCTCCCCACTGGTAACCACTAGTTTGTTCTTTATATTTTTCTTTTTTGTTATATTCACTAGTTTGTTTTATTTTTTAGATTCCATATGTAAGTGATAACATACAGTATTTGTCTTTCTCTGACTTATTTCAGTAAGCGTAATACCCTTCGGGTCCATCCATGTTGCTGCAAATGGCAAAATTTCAATCTTTTTTATGACTGAGTAATATTCCATTGTATATATGTACCACATCTTCTTTATCCATTCATCTGTTGATGGAAATTTCCATATCTTGGCTGTTGTAAATAATTCTGCTATGAACATTGGGGTACATTTATCTTTTCAAATTAGTGTTTTTGTTTTCTTTGGGTATATACCCAGGAGTGGAATTCCTGGATAATATGGTAGTTCTGTTTTTAGTTTTTTGAGGAACCTCCATACTGTTTTCCACAGTGGCTACATCAATTTACATTCACATCAATAGTGTACAAGGGTTCCCTTTTCTCTACATCCTCACCAACATTTGTTATTTGTGGCCTTTAAAAAATATAATGGGGCTTCCCTGGTGGCGCAGTGGTTGAGAGTCCGCCTGCCGATGCAGGGGACGCGGGTTCGTGCCCGGGTCCGGGAAGATCCCACATGCCGTGGAGCTGCTGGGCCCGTGAGCCATGGCCGCTGAGCCTGCGCATCCGGAGCCTGTGCTCCGCAACGGAAGAGGCCACAACAGTGAGAGGCCCGCGTACCGCAAGAGAAAAAAAAAAAATATATATATATATATATATATATATATATATATATATATACATACACATATATATATAATAGAATACTACTATGTGTGTCTGCTGTTTCTTTTTTTATTTTTTTTAAATTTATTTATTTTATTTATTTTATTGTTTCTGGCTGCGTTGAGTCTTCATTGCTGCACAGGCTTTCTCTAGTTGCAGCAAACGGGGGCTACTCCTCATTGCGGTGCACGGGCTTCTCATTGCGGTGGCTTCTCGTTGCGGAGCACAGGCCCTAGAGCTTGCGGGCTTCAGTAGTTATGGCACACAGGTTCAGTAGTTGTGGCTCGCGGGCTTAGTTGCTCCGTGGCATGTGGGATCTTCCTGGACCAGGGCTCAAACCCGTGTCCCCTGCATTGGCAGGCGGATTCTCAACCACTGTGCCACCAGGGAAGCCCTGTCTGCTGTTTCTTAACCTGCTTCTTCTCCATATATTATTTTCATACACTGTGGTCTGTTTTCCATGCTAACCAGTAAACTGTTTCCATAGGTAAAGAGTATTCTCTTTAATAATGGCTGCATGAGATTCCTGTGTGTTTGTGTCATTACACACATGATACCATAATTTAACAGTCAGCATTACAGATCAACATTAAATTGTTTCTGTGTTTTGCACAATTACGAAGAATGCTGACGTGAACATCCGGTTCCTTGTATCTCTGTACTGTTGTCAGATTCATTGCTGAGGATGAATTCCTAGCTGTGGCATTGCCGTGTACTGTGGTAGAAATGGCCCTTCGGGAAAGTCCCAGCTTACACATCCCTCAAGGCCGCTTGCCTTCATTAAGCAGATTCTTCAGCGACTCCTAAAGCGGCGGTTACCAAAGGACAGAGCTGGGGTCACGACCCTGCGTAGTTCTTTCCTAGTCACGGGAGCGTGGGCTGCTGCTCGTGTTCCAGAAGGCCATGTGCCACTGTTTGCTAGTGTGAAGTCTGGAGGAGAGATGCTTTAAATGACAGATCGTATTTTATTTCAAGGAAGGTTAAAAGGCCCGTTGGGGATCCCTGATGGCTCTGGGCAGCCATAGAAATAATATGATTTGCAACCCTGTTGTATTTCAGAATAGCTCTGTTACAGACCTTTTTGTCCCCCTTTTTTGGTAATCATGATGCCATTGACTTTAATCTGTATGGGAGCAAGTCTCCTATAAACAAAGTCATGGTGGCAGATGAAGGCCCCTGTTAAAATGTATGGTCCTTCCTAGGTGTGTAACCGTGGCCAAGTTACCTAACCTCTCTGTGCCTCAGTTTCTTCATCTGTAAAATAGGGACAAGGATGGTAACTGCTTCAGAGGGTGGTTGTGAGAATTTAACCAACAAAATGCTTGCGAGGCATGCGAGACCAGGGCCTGGCTCCACGGTGTCAGTGATTAGTATCCTTATGTTACTTGTAAACACCCAAGAGTTAAGCCGAGTAGTCCAGGGGCCAGGCTGGAAGGAAAGGTGGGGGTCCTGGGTGTGGAGGATGGGCAGGTGCAAGTGCACAGCCTGTAATCTGGGAAGGGGTTGTGGGCAAGCAGAAGGAATGCCTAGTAACACTCCAAGGGGCGGCCACCCTGATGGGATTGCTCTTGTGGAAAAAGTTGAAAAACTGCCATTTCTAGTGGTGTTCGTGGTATTTAAGAGTCCTGCTTTCGGGACACATACAATGTAAGTTTGTGGAGGACTGAAGTGAGGTTCCCACTGTTAAATGGTGGTCCAGAGTGTCTTAAAATCCTAACTTAAAGCGTGCAGCCTTTGACCGAAGCTTGACCAGCTTTACTTTCTAGGGGAAAAAGTTTGCTCCCCCAAGGAGAGTAAACCTAGGAGAAAGTAGAAGCTTGTCTCCTAGGATGTAAATTGCACTTGAGATTTTTATCAGCAAACCACTCACCTGGTTCTGGGATGGTGTATGTGACAAAACCAATACTGTTTCAGAATTTAAAAATAAACTTCAAGATACCATTCATATTTTTATTATGCTTGTTTCTACTTGAAATTCAAGAGTTTTAACACCTGGAGCAGTCAAAATTAAGTGACATTAACATTCATAAAATCCATTTGCAGCCTGTTTCTCTCCTCCTGGTGATTCCTGTGCTCCAGCAAAGCAGTGGTTCCTAATGGGCTTTTTTTTTTTTTTTTTTTTTTTTTTAGGGGTTGGAAAAACAACGTTGATCCAGAAAGTCAGTGAAGTTTTAAAGTCCTCTGGCGTGCCTGTCGACGGGTTTTATACAGAAGAAGTCAGACAGGGAGGAAGAAGAATAGGGTTCGATGTTGTCACGTTGTCTGGCACCCGCGGACCTTTATCCAGGATTGGGTACTGCAGCTTCATTTCCGTGGTGTTTTATTCTCCCTGGGCCCAGGGCTGAGCCAGGTGATCTCTTCTATCTTGAAGAATCCTGAGCCTTTACGGATTTCTTGGAAAAAGAAAACAGAGGTTGAAATCATCACATAAAAAACAAAGTTGAAAATATCATATTCCACTTAGAACGTACTCCACTGAGTAGTAAGCTCTTCTCACTTGGTACTTCGTAGCCCTGTTTCTCACGTCACTCTTCTAAGATAGGTGACGTGCCAGCTCCCCGAAGGCAGCTGCCGGGCCGTGGGTGGTGGTGTGCCCCCCGGTGTTAGCCCTGCTCTCAGGAAAGGGTGTGGAATCAGGTCAGCTTTGCTCACTGCCACTTTCTGTTTGGTTTAGCACACGCAGAAGGCCAGAGGCTCAGTGGAGTAGCTAAAACCCAGAAATCAGTAGAGGGGTCTTTCGACAAAGGATGTACTATCTTTTCTTTCAGGTCAGAGCTTCCGCCTGGAAAGCGTGAGTGCTGTGTTGGGCAGTATGTGGTGGATCTGACTTCCTTCGAGCAGCTGGTGCTTCCTGTCTTGAGGAACGTGAGTGCGTGTTTCTGGTTTTTGAGCCCGTTTGTTCTCCAGGCCTGGTGGGAATTGCTGGCTTTCGCTCTTATAGAGAGGCCAGTTTTGCATTTACAGCTTAAAAGTCTTCAATTGATTGAGCCTTAGTAAGGATATGCCACATAATTTACTGTCACTCCAAACTACAAGTAAACTCCTTGTTACAGAAATTCAGCATATGTAAGTATTTTACATTGGGAGGGCTCTGATGCCTAGCTACCATGGTCCCCAAAGATGAGTCTTTCCTCTGCTTTCCCCTTGTGTATATCTTAACCCTGTTTTCACAGCACAGCACATAAACATTTAGGAAGGTAAAATGTCATATGAACATAATGGTAAGCACGTAACACATTATATCACTGTATTACCTGTATTTTTTTAAACAGCTTTATTGAGATATAATTCACATACCATACAGTTAACCCATTTAAAATATACAGTTCATTTTTTTCTCAAGTATTCATAGGATTGTGCAACCAATTAACACAGCCTAATTTTAGAACATTTTTGTCATCCCGAAAAGAAACCCCACACCCATGAAGCAGTCTCCATTCCTGTGTGTCCCCAGCCCCTGGCAGGCACTACCCTGCTTCTCTGTCTGTAGATTTGAGGATTCTGGATATTTCCTAGAAAGGGAATGATACCATATGTGGTCTTTCTGTGCCTAGCCTGTTTCACTTGGCCTAATATTTACAGGGTTTATCCACATCACAGTGCATATCAGTGCTTCGTTCCTTTTCATGGCTGTGTAATATTCCATTATATGGATATACCATATTTTAGTTATCTACTCTTCAGCTGGTGAACATTTGGATAAGTTTCTACTTTTTGGCTATTATGAATAATGCTGCCCTGAACAATTGTGTCCAAGTTTTTGGGTAGACATCTGTTTTTAGGTCTCTTGAGTATATACCTACGAGTGGAAATGCTGGGTCATGAGGTAGTTCTATATATAACTTTTTGGGAAATGACTAGAGTGTTTTCCAAACTAGCTGTGCTGTTTTACATTCCTGCCAGCAATGGATGATGGTTTCAGTTTCTCCACATCCTTGCTAATCGTTACTGTCTTTGTAACTGTACCCCTTCTAGTAGGTGTGAAGCGTTGTCGCACTGTGTTTTCATTTGCATTTCCCTATTGACCTACTGACGTTGAGCATCGTGTCATGTACTTATTGGCCATCTGGATGTGATATGCAGGTATACAGTTGGCTCTCCGTGTCCATGGGTTCCATGGATATGGAGGACCATTGTGCCATTTTATCTGAGGGACTTGAGCATCCGTGGATTTGGTGTGTGGGGGAGGACCCTGGAACCAGTGCCCTGCGGATACCCAGGGACGACTGTATTCATCAACTCTGTAGTTGTCTTTACTTTCTTGATGTGATGACACAAATGTTTTTATTTATTTATTTTTTAAAAACTTTTTTGGCTGCATGGCGCGGCATGCAAAACTTCCCCCATCAGGGATTGAACCCGTGCCCCCTGCAGTAGCAGCACAGAGTCTTAACCACTGGACCACCAGGAAAGGCCACAAATGTTCTTAGTTTTGAAAAGTCCAGTGTATCTATTTTTCTTAATGTTGTTTGTGCTTTTGATGCTTTACTAACACAGTTTCAGGAAGATTAACTCCCATGTGTTCTTCCAAGAGTTTTACAAATGCATTTAGGCCTGTGGTCTGTTCTGAATTGATTTTTGTATATGTTGTAAGGTGTGGATCGAAAGTCATTCTTTTGCATATAAATATCCAGTTGTTTCAGAACCATTTGTTGACAAGACTATTCTTTTTCCACTTAATTGTCTTGGCACTCTTTTAGAAATCAATTGACCATGAGTATAAGGATTGATTTTAGATTTTCAATTCTATTCTGTTTATCCTCATGTCAGTTCCATCTATTCTTATATCAGAAGCACACTGTTTGATTACTGAAGCTAGAATTTTGATAGAGATTGTATTGAATCTATAAATCAATTTGGGGAGTATTGCTATCTTAACAATATTAAATCTTTAGATCCATGAACATGAATGACATGTCTTTTTATTTACTTAGAGTGTCTTTAATTTCGTTCAGCCATGTTGTTTTGTAGTTTCCAGCATATAAGTCTTATGCTTCTTTTTAAAAAATTTATACCTTACTATTTTATACTTTTTGATGCTATTGTAAATAGAATTATTTTCCTAATTTTATTTTTGGAATGTTCATTACTAATGTACAGAAATACTGTTGATTTTTGTGTATAGACCTTGTATCCTGCAAACTGTTGTCAAACTAATAGTTCTTTAATGAATTCCTTAGAATTTTCTAGTTACAAAATGATATCATCTGCAAACGGGGATCATTTTACTTTTTCCTGTCCACTTTGGATGCCTTTTATTTTGTTTTCTTTCCTAACCGCCTCAGCCAGAAGCTCAGTTCAGTGATGAATAGAAGCGTCGCAAGTGGACCTCCTGGTCTCGTTCCTGATCTCAGGAAGAAAGCTCTCATTCCCCCGCCGTCACGTATGATGTTAGGGGTAGGTTGTTTGTGGACGGCTAACACCAGGTTGACGATGTTCCTTTCTGTTTCTAGCTTGTGGTTTAACATTTGTTTTTTAAAGTGAAGAAGTGTTGGGTTTTGTCAGATCCTTTTTCTGCATTTATAGCAGTGATTATGTGATTTTTATTCTATATTATATTAATATAGTATATTACATTCGTATTTGGATGTTAAACCTACTTTGTTTTCTTGAAATAAATCCCTCTTGGTCATGGCATACGTATATTTCTTTTATATGTTGCCGGATTCTGTTTGCTAGTATTTTGTTGAGGATTTCTGCATCTACATTCGTAGGGGATGTGGACCGTAGCTCTCTTTTCTTGTAGTATCTTTGTCTAATTTTGATATCAGGGTAATCGTGGTCTTGTAGAACGAGCTAGGCAGTATTCCTTCCTCTTCTAATTTTTGGAAGAGTTTGTAAAAGACTGGTATTAATTTTTCTTGGAATGTTTGATAGAATTCACCAGTGAAACCATGTGGGCCTGGGTTTTTCTTCATAGGAATCTTTTAAATTATGAATTCAATTTCTTTATTTGTTATAGGTCTGCTGATTATTTCACGTTGAATCAGTTGTGGTAATTTGTGTCTTTTAGTAATTTATTGGACCGTTTCATTAGATAGTAAGTTATCTAATTCGTCAGCATACGGTTGTTTATATATTCCCCTGTAATCCTTTTTATTTTGTAAGGTCTGTGGTATTTTCCCTTCTTTCATGCCTTTTAATTATTTAAGTCCTCTCTTTATGGACTTCAGTAATAGTTAAAGGTTTGTCAATTTAGTTGCTCTTTTCAAAGAACCAACTTTCGGTTTTGTTGACTATGTATTACTTGTTTTTTGCATTCATTCATCAAATATTTATCAAATCCCAGATATACAGTCAGGAAAAAAACATGTTTTCTACTCTCCCCAAACTCTCATTCTAGTGGGAAATGTAGACATTAAACAAATAAATGTATAATTGTCATTAATGCAGCCAAGAAGAAAAGCAGGGTGCTGTGAGAGGAGGAGGAGGAACTGACTTTAGATCTGGTGACCAGGAAAGAGCTCTGAGGAGGTGACGTTTGGATGAAATGAAAAGATCAGAGGGCACCATCCCTTCCGGGAGGGAATCCTGGGGTGTTGTATGGGGGTGTCTGGGAGAACGTCACGGATGATAGAAGCAGAGACACCGAGGCCGGGGGCCCTGGGCAGGAGCAGGTGGGGGAGGTACGGTGGGTGAGCCGGGTAGAGTCCCATGATGCAGGGTTTTGTGGCGCATATTAAGGAATATGGGTTTTATATCATCTATTATAGACTCACACCATTGATTTATAATACTGTCGTGAAGATTGAAGAGTATGGACCTGTCTCAAGAGGCAATTCTTTATCAACTTTGCGGCGGTCTCCGTCGTACCAGCAGTCGAGTCCAAGGTCCTCCCCGGGGCCCGGAAGGCCGGCTCTGTCCGGGCCTCCTGCCCTCCGTCCTCCCCATCTCCCGCCTGCCGGCTCAGCCTGTTCCCCTCGTGCCCGGCCCCCAGCCTTCCGCCCTTGGCACTGCTGTTTCTGTGGTTGGCAGGCTCCTCATATCTTGGCCTCTCTGCTCATTCAGGGCTCAGCTAAAAGGGGCGGTGAGGGCTTTGGCAGGTGCCAAAGCTTTGGCTGCTGGAAAGGTCAGGTTTGCCTGCTGAGGGCAGCTTCTGACTCCCGCGGCCGGCGGGATGTTGCACTGTGTTGGTAGCGGCTGCTGCCCCTCCAAGCCCACCTGCTCCTTGGCTTCGCCCCCCCTCGCCTGCTCCCCTCACCTTTCTTCCTGATTTCTTCCTCTAGGAACTTTCGTTCCCTGCACTGGGGACTCTCGTGCCTGTTGTCTTGTGCGGAAACAGTCAGGAAGCATGATATTTTTCTCTCTAGTTCTTTTCCCGTCAAATACCTACCTCTCTACTTAAATGCTCAAGAAGCAAGTGAAATACTTCAAATCAAATTCCAGATGATGACTCTGGCTTTGGGTACTGGATCCAATAAAGAATGATTTTTACTCACCTTGCTTAGAGCAGACAGTCCTAGGAGAGCAGTGTGCACATACGGCCTTGACGTCTATCTGCAGGATTATATAAGAAATCGTGTACTGACCGGAATAAGAACTTGAATCTCTTTTTTTTCTTAGTTAAAAAAGAAAGAAAAGCAGACTCTTCCAATATTTTATACTTTGATTACCAAACCCAGACTTTCAACATTCTAGGTAGGAAAATTTCCCAGGCTGCAGGTTCGTATCCATGGGTTTCTTTTCTGAAGCAGAATTTTTTCTCCCATCTCATGTATTTTACTGGGGACAAAGAAAGGAAAAGGAATTAGTGTTTTACCTTTATACTTAAAAAAGAAAGAAAGAAAGAAAAGAAAGTTTAAGTAACTAGGCAACAAAAATAGGATATTATAGAGAGACAGGTTTTATTATTGGCAATTGGAATGACCGACTAAAGTAAGCTGAAAGTTTTAGAAACCACATTTAGGCCGGTGACAGCCTTTATTTTTTTGTTGTTTTTTTAATTTTTTATTGAAATATAGTTGAGTTACAATGTTGCATTAATTTCTGCTGTACAGCAAAGTGACACCATTATATACATATATACATTCTTTTTTACATTGTTTTCCATTATGTTTTATCCCAGGTTATTGAATATAGTTCCCTGTTTTGTATAGTAGGACCTTGTTGTTTATCCATCCTTTATGTAATAGTTTACATCTGTTAACCCCAAACTCCCAATTCTTCCTTCCCCCCCTCCCCCGTCCCCCTTGGCAACTACAAGTCTGTTCTCTATGTCTGTGAGTCTGTTTCTGTTGTGTAGCTAAGTTCATTCGTGCCATATTTTAGATTCCACATATAAGTGATATCATATGGTATCTGTCTTTCTGACTCACTTCACTTAGTGTGCTAATTGCTAGGTCCATCCATGTTGCTGCAAGTGGCATTATTTCGTTCTTTTTTTTATGGCTGAGTAATATTCCATTGTGTATATGTACCACATCTTTATCCATTCATCTGTCAGTGGACAGTCATGTTGTTTCCATGTCTTGGCTATTGTAAATAGTGCTGCTATGAACATAGGGGTGCATGTATCTTTTTTTTTTTTTTTTTTGCGGTACACAGGCCTCACTGTTGTGGCCTCTCCCGTTGCGGAGCACAGGCTCCGGACGCACAAGCTCAGCGGCCATGGCTCATGGGCCCAGCCGCTCCGCGGCATGTGGGATCTTCCCGGACCGGGGCACGAACCCGTGTCCCCTGCATCGGCAGGCGGACTCTCAACCACTGTGCCACCAGGGAAGCCCCGCATGTATCTTTTTGAATTATGGTTTTGTCCAGATATGTGCCCAGGAGTGGAATTGCTGGATCATACAGTAACTCTATTTTTAGTTTTTTTTTTTTTTTAAAGGAATAGACTGCCCTTAAATATAATAGTGTTTATTTATTTTTACTTGTTGACAGTTTGCTTTATTTATTTATTTATGGCTGTGTTGGGTCTTCGTTTCTGTGCGAGGGCTTTCTCTAGTTGTGGCAAGCAGGGTCCACTCTTCATAGCGGTGCGTGGGCCTCTCACTATCACCGCCTCTCTTGTTGCGGAGCACAGGCTCCAGACGCACAGGCTCAGTAATTATGGCTCACGGGCCCAGTTGCTCCGCGGCATGTGGGATCTTCCCAGACCAGGGCTCGAACCCATGTCCCCTGCATTGGCAGGCAGATTCTCAACTACTGTGCCACCAGGGAAGCCCTATTTTTAGTTTTTTGAGGAACCTCCATACTGTTTTCCGTAGTGGCTGCACCAACTTACATGCCCATCAACAGTGTTTCAGCATTCTCTTTTCTCCACACCCTTCCCGGCATTTATTATTCGCAGATTTTTTAATGATGGCCATTCTGACCAGTATGAGGTAGTACCTCACTGTAGTTTTGATTTGTATTTCTCTAATAGTTAGTGATGTTGAGCATCTTTTCCTGTGCCTATTGGCCATCTGTATGTCTTTGAAGAAATGTCTATTTAGGTCTTCTGCCCATTTTTCGATTGGGTTGTTTGTTTTTTTGTTGTTGAGTTGTATGAGCTGTTTGTATATTTTGGAAATTAAGCCCTTGTCAGTCACATTGTTTGCAAATATTTTCTCCCATTCTGTAGGTTGTTTTTTTGTTTTGTTTATGGTTTCTTTTGCTGTGCAAAAGCTTGTAAGTTTGATTAGGTCCCATTTGTTTATTTTTGTGTTTATTTCTATTGCCTTGGGAGACTGACCTAAGAAAACATTGGTATGATTTATGTCATAGAATGTTTTGCCTGTGTTCTCCTCTAGGAGTTTTATGGTGTCTTGTTTTATATTTAAGTCTTTAAGCCATTTTGAGTCTATTTTTGTGCATGGTGTGAAGGTGCGTTCTAGCTTCATTGATTTACATGCAGCTGTCCAGTTTTCCCGGCACCACTTGCTGAAGAGACTTTTTCCCATTTTATTGATATATTCTTGCCTCCTTTGTTGAAGATTAATTAACCATAGTGTGTGGGGTTTTTGTTTTTTTTTTTTGGTGGTGGCTTATGGGATCTTAGTTCCTGGATCAGGGATTGAACCCCGGCCCCTGTCAGGGAAAGCGAGGAGTCCTAACCACTCGACTGCCAGGGAATTGGGTAAGTGTGTAGATTTATTTCTGGGCTCTATTCTATTCCATTGATCCGTATTCTGTTTTTGTGCCAACACTACGCTGTTTTGATGACTGTAGCTTTGTAGTATAGTCTGAGGTTTGGGAGGGTTATGCCTCCAGGCAGGTGAGAGCCTTTAAACAGACAGTGGGTTAGCTTCTAGTGCCCAGGGTATATGAAAACACAAACTCTGACAATAAGTTAAGGAATATCTATTAAGTGCTTCCTATGTGTGAGAAATTTCACTATCGTTGAAAAATATTTTGAGTTGTTTTTTTTAGGTACTGTGAAAAACATAAGAAAAATTATTCTTTGGGCCAGCAGGGCCATGCCTGTGGGTTGGGGAGTAAGAATGGGTCTGGGAGCCGAAAAGCAGCAGCCTGAGGCCAGGCAGAAGCCAGCCTGCTGTGGGGCTCTTGCTGCTCTTCCCCAGGCAGGAGTGGAGGCCAGCCCACCACCATAGGCACATGGGAAATCGACACAGAATAGATGGTAAACATTCTAGACTCAGTAAGGCTTTTAGAAAGCCCTTGTAGACTTTACTATTGTTGATTTTTCTTTTCATTCCATGGCTACGTCTTCCCTCATTTGACAACATTTACTGTTTTCTTGAGTATTAAAGTTCTACATACTTAAGGTAGAAAATATGTAAAAAGTATAAAATAAGAAAAGAAAATATGGATAACTCAGTCTTATCACTGAGTTAACCACTTTTAGCATATTTTGTTTCTGCCCTTTTTCTATACCTCGTTTCTTTATTATAGTCATCCAAAATTGGGGAAAATGCCAAATATAGTTCTATAGGTTTGGACTTTTTCATTTAATACAATTGAGTGACATGGGAATGGTCTCACAACATGATAATCTTCAAAACTGTGATACTTTGGGAATTCCCTGGCGGTCCAGTGGTTAGGACTCCATGATTCCACTGCAGGAGGCATGGGTTCAATCCCCGGTCAGGGAACTAAGATCCCACAAGCGGTGCGGTGTGGCAAAACAACAACAACAACAACTGTGATACTTTAATGATTGCATAATATATGGTGGTATGGATTTCCATCTCTGATTTAACTGTTACTCCCTCAGTGTCGGACATTGAATTTATTTATCACTGTTGCAGGTAACTTTGCAGGAAGCCCTCTTTGTGGATCATCCTTAATCCAGCCGTGACTGTCTCCCTGTGGGGGACCTACAGGTGGAATACGGGGTGGAGGGGTGTGAATTTCCAGGGTGTTGCTGTGTGTGTGTGACAGTTGTGTCACTTTGCACCCCCTGCCATGTGCATGTGTGTTTCTCTTGCTGCACTTCTGCCAACACTGAGCACTATACTGACTTTTGATACTAAAACACGTTGCTTTGCTTTGATTTATCTTTTTAAAGTACTAATGAGGTTAAAAGTTTTTCAGTTGTTTTATTGGGTATTTTTAAGAATCTAAGTTGTTTGTTCATTTCCGCATTTTTTTCTTTTAGCTTAAAGAGATCTTTTATAAGGTAAATAACTTTTTTTATTTTTATTGATTCTCTTTCTCAGTTTGTCGCTTTGGTGATTTCCTTTTTTTTTCTTTTTTAATATTGAGAAAGTCTGTTCCTATTCCAAGTTAATATAAAATTTTTTACCTATATGTTTCTTCTTCTGTGTGCTTTTTTTTTTGACATTTTTTTAATCCATCTGGATTTATCTGGAATGTAATATTCAATGAGACTCTCAATTGATTTTCTTCCAAATACTTAGCTGGTTTTCCAAAACCGTCTGTTAATAACTCATTTCTCATTAGTTTATTATGCTGCATTTATTATATTAAAAAAATACCTGTGTGTGTATAATGTTTTAGGATTGTCTGTTCTCTTTCGTTGATCTGTTTGATGCTTGCATCAGTACTCTGGTAATTACTTGTATTACTCTTCTTCAAAACAATGTCTTATCCGTTCTTGTTTGCTTGTTCTTCCAAATTGTGGCAATGTTGGTGATAATAGTAATGGTGGTGGTAAAGTTACTGAGTTCAAATTATGCTTCAGACACTAACTCATTTAATCCTCAGGACAACACTGTCACTGTTTTCCTGTTTTACAGATGAGGAAACTGAGGCATAGAATAGAAAGTAATTTGCCCAATGACAAACAGCTTATAAGCAGCGGTACTGGTATGAACTGTAATCTGTTACAAAAAGTCTTGTATGAAGTGACTGGAATTATACAAAAATATAGTTATTATAATATAAAGAACATCCTAATCTTCCAGACAGTCTTCATTCTCTACAGCCAAAACAGAATCTCTCTCTCTTTCCGTTTCTTTTTTAAAAATTTTTTGTAAGGTTATTCATAGATCTTTTGTATTTTCTGATGCTGCTGTAATTAAGATTGCTTTTTCAGTTTTCTAATGATCAAGGCTGTTAGGATAACGCTGGCCTTTTGCATAATGGTCTTTTTGACAGCCACCTTGAACGCTTTATTAGAATTTGATGCAGTATAGGATTTAACATTTTGGTTGGTTCCCGGTGTATCTCCTACTCACACAAAACGGTAACAGCAGATTATAAGGTTGTGAAGAACAAGAGACGTCTACTCAAAGCCTTATTTTTTAGGCTGAGCAGTGTCATTTTTTATAAAGATCCGTGGAAGGGATAATGAGCTAGAACCAGAATACCCACTGAAAACCCACACGCTTGGTTGCGTTTTTCTGTTTTGTTCAAAATATGGCTTTCAGTGCATATCCTTTCTGAGAGAGGATCTGCTTTTGATTCTGAAAGAAGAGTCTGCTTCAGATCTTTGAAACTTCATTTGAAGGTGTGAGATCAGCTGTCCAGGGAAAGGTTCTTTTTTTTAATCCCTTGACCTGGAAAGGCCACTTAGCATTTCAGGCCACTGAGCTTTAGAAAGAATTTAGAAAAATCGAGTCAGGAGCCGTTCTTGAAAGGCTGACAAGAGCCCAAGCACTGCTTTAGAATCTCCTTCACTGTTAGCAAGCCTGGCGTTCGCTTCTTGGTTCCGCCCCACGTTCTGATTCTGTACCTCACGATCACACGTACGTATTACAAGATCAGCAAGGGGAATTAGAAGCTATCTGGTGCAGACCTGGAAAGTAAAAATTTTTCAGTGAAAGCATTCCTGCAGTGAATCAAAATAGGAAGAAGAACTGCAAGCAGCGTATAAGGTTGGCTCCTTAGTTCACCGTGCAGGCTTTGTCGTGGCCACCCTTCCGGTGATCTCCCGGGTTCCACCGGGCAGGTGGGCTGCTCATCGCTTCCCACTGCCGGCCGGGGTGCAGTTCTGTGCGGTTAGATGCCAAGCCCGCTGCTGCCCTGGGTTTCCTCTCCTTCGCGTGACTCTTCTGCACCCCCTCCCAAGAAGCACGGGGAAGTCACGTGCTCCGGAAGTGTGCCTGGAGAAGGATGTGTGTGACTGGCCTTTCTTTCTCCCTCTGACCACCCGCTCTGTCCTTCCTCCTGGCCCTTGTCCTGTGCACATCGGTCTGAAGCCCTGTGCGCCGTCAGAAGGAAGCTCTCATGCCAGGAGTTGGTGCTTTTCTTGAACCAGATACTGAGAAAGTATGCATGTGAGTGTTTTCTTTTTTTGTATTGAGTCTTAACTTTTAAAAACTTTATTTGGATATAATTTTACTCTTAGAGAACCTTGTAAAGATAAGGATAGTGCAAGACCCCCTGTGGACTTGGTATCCAGAGTCACCTATTTTTAACATTTGCCCTGTTTATTCCCTCTCTCTTCTTGTGTGTGTGTGTGTCTGTATGTTTGTATAAACATATAAATTGGGGGAGGACCATTTGAGAGTATGTTGTAATCATCACAGTACTTAAGTCCTAAATGTGCAGTATTTTTCCCGAAGCGTAAGGATATGCTGTTACATAATTGGCACAGTTGTCAACCTCAGTCAGTTTACTGAGAAAATCCTTTGATCTACCCTACCCCTCATATGCTGGTTTTATAAGTTGACTTAACAGTGTTGTTCGTAACATTTCTTTTCCTTCAGTCTAGAGCCAGGCATTACCTTTAGTTGTCGTGTCTTGATAGCCTCCTTTAATGTGGAACATTTCCACAGTCATTTTTTTTGTCCTTTGTGACAGTGACATTTTTGAAGAGTGCAGCTCTATTTTAATAGGATGTTCCTCTTTTGGGGCTTTCTGATGGTTCCTTGTGATTGGGTTCAGCTGGAATTCTGTAGTGTGTGGTGAGGCATCCTTCCTGGCCTCTCATCTGGAGGCATGTGATGGTTGGTGATGGTAATTTGATTACCCGATCAAGGAATTGACCAGTTTCTTCCCTGTACGTTTATTCTTTTTTTCCTTTGAACTAGTAGCTGTGAGTAGGGAGCTGTTTATGACCAAGCACATCCTCCTCAGCACAATTTCTCCCAGTTAATTTTTCTAATTTATTTATTTGCGGTACGCGGGCCTCTCACCTCTGTGGCCTCTCCCGTCACGGAGCACAGGCTCCAGACGCGCAGGCTCAGCGGCCGTGGCTCACGGGCCCAGCCGCTCTGCAGCATGTGGGATCTTCCCGGACCAGGGCATGAACCTGTGTCCCCTGCATCGGCAGGCGGACCCTCAACCACTGCGCCACCAGGGAAGCCCTTTTCTAATACTTTATAAACTTTATTAGGTTATCTTAAGATAATAACTTTCTCTTGAGTCTTCAACTGGAAAGCAAATTTAGCTACCCCGTTTTGAAATACTTTCTATAGCAAGGTGAAACAAACATAAAATCACTGTACATTCAAAAACTGAACAAGACAAATCCATAAAGATTGATTTTTCCCTGATCTAAGCTGTACTCCTCTCCTCTCTTTGTATCCATTTACCTCATTAGTTAGAAAAAAAAAGTCGTCACCATTTCACTGTAGCAAAAATTATCAACTTTTATCTCCTTCAGAGAATTTCTAATAGAAGGTTATCAGGCATCAAAAATACCAAACTTTTATCAAAAGCTTAAGTAGTGATTAAAATTTTTACTAAGCAATTGAAATTTAAAAAAAACAGTTATTGTAAACACCGTCAGCTGATAAGGAGGATTTAGAAGGTAGTACAGGCATACCTCGTTGTCTTGTGCTTTGCAGATACTGCCTTTTTTTACAAACTGAAGGTTTGCGGCCTCCAAGCATTCAAGTGAAAGGAAGAGTTGCACGTCTTTTCACTTTTCAAAAGCTGGAAATGATTAAGCTCAGCGAGGAAGGTACGTTGAAAGCCGAGACAGGCAGAAAGCTATGCCTCCTGTGCCAGTTAGCCAAGCTGTGAGTGCAAAGGAAAAGTTCTTGAAGGAAATTAAAAGTGAACACACAAATGATAAGAAAGCAAAGCACCCTTACTGCTGATAGGAAGAAAGTTTTAGTGTTTGGAGAGAGGATCAAAACAGCGACAACATTCCATTAAGCCAGAGCGTAATCCAGAGCAAAGCCCTAACTCTCTTCAGTTCTTTGAGGGTTGAGAGAGGTGAGGAAACCGCAGAAGAAGAGCTTGAAGCCAGCAGAGGTTGGTTCATGAGGTTTGAGGAAAGAAGCTGTCTCCATAACATGAAAGTACAGGGTAAAGCCCCAGGTGCTGATGCCCAAGCTGCAGCAAGTTCTCCAGAAGGTCTAGCTGAGATATTCATGAAGGTGGCTACACCAAACAACAGATTTTCAATGTAGAAGAAACAGCCTTCTGTTGGAAGAAGATGCCACATAGGACCTTCATAGCTGGAGAGGAGAAGTCAATGCCTGGCTTCAAAGCTTCAAAGGACAGGCTGACTCTCTTGGTAGGGGCCAGTGCAGCTGGTGACTTGAAGTTGAAGCCAGTGTTTATTTACCATTCTGGAAATCCTAGAGCCCTTAAGAATTATGCGAAATCTACTCTTCCTGTGCTCTGTACGTGGAATAACAAAGCCTGGTGACAGCACATCTGTTGACAACATAGTTTGCTGAATATATGAAGCCCACTGCTGAGACCTACTGCTCAGAAAAAAAGATTCCTTTCAAAATTGACAATGCACCTGGTCACCCAAGAGCTCTGATGGAGAAGCTGGAGATTCATGTTTTCTTCATGCCTGCTCAGAAAACATCCATTCTACAGCCCATGGATCAAAGAGTAACTTCAACTTTTAGGTCTTATTATTTAAGGAATATATTTTGTAAGGCTATAGCTGCCAGAGATAGTGATTCTTCTGATGGATCTGGGCAAAGTCAATTGAAAACCTTCTGGAAAGGATTCACTGTTCTAGATGCCATTAAGAATGTTCATGATTCATGGGAAGAGGTCAGAATATCAACATTAACAGGAATTTGAAAGAAGTTGCTTCCAATCCTCATGGGTGACTTTGAGGGGTTCAAGACCTCAGTGGATGATCCAGTGATTCCACTTTTGGAGGTTCATCCTAATGAGAGAGTCAAATGTGTGTATAAGGATATTCTGTGCAGCGTTTTAATAAAAGCCATAATATTGAAAAAAAAAGACCTCAGTGGAGGAAGTAACCACAGATGTGGTGGAAACAGCAAGAGAACTAGAAGTGGAGCCTGAAGATGGGACTGAACTGCTGCCATCTCAGGATACAACTTTAATGGATGAGGAGTTGCTTCTTATGGACGAGCAAGAAAAGAGGTTTCTTGAGATGGAATCTACTCCTGGTGAAGATGCTGTGAGATTGTTGACATGACAACAAAGATTTAGGGTATTCCATAAACTTAGTCGATAAAGCAGTAGCAGGGTTTGAGAGGATTGACTCCGATTCTGAAAGAAGGTCTATGCTGTCAAACAGCCTTGCCTGCTGCCGAGAAATCATTCATGAAAGTAGGAGCCAATCAATGCGACAGACCTCATTGTTGTCTTATTTTAAGACATTGTCATGGCCACCCCACCCTTCAGCAACCGCCGTCCGGATCGGTCAGCAGCTGTCAGCACTGAGGCAAGACCGTCCACCGGCAAAAAGATTACTCCTTGCTAAAAGCTCAGACGATGGTTAGCAGTTTTTAGTAATAAAGTATTTTTTAATTAAGGTACGTACATCGTTCTTTTAGACATAATGCGATTGCACACTTTTTAGATGCGCCAAGAAACTAAAAAATTCATGCGACTCACCTTAGTGTGATACTGGCTTTATTCCGGGTGCCTGGAAGCGAGCTCCGCATCTCGCTGAGGTAAGCCTGTGCACATTGGGA